TTGCCTTAACTAAGTCGTGTAGTTCCGGTGGACTATGGTGTCCCCCTCCGAGCTGGTTAGTGGACTGGATTGGTGTCCTGCCTGCTATCCAGCCTTTTTGTGGGTGTTTCACCCACAGTGGATTATTAAGATGTTTGTGCTAATCTTACTATTTCATATGAATATTGCTCGTATACCAGATGATTTCTTGTTTTCTTCCTTCTGTCCTGTCTTTTTTTTCTCTGTTTTTTGTCAAGTGTGTTTTTTTATAAATTTTTTTCAGGGCTCCCGGAGATCGTAGCGGATATGATCTTTTTCCCTTCACATTGCCATGTCGCTAAACTGGTTATCCTTGAATGTTCAAGGCATGAACTCTCCACAAAAACGGGTAAAGATATTTAAGTTTCTCCGGGCTTGCCATGTCGACATTGCTTGCCTACAGGAGACTCATTTTTCAAATACCTCTGCCCCTAAATATTTCGATGCACGCTACCCTCAGGTTTTTCAGGCTACTGGCCCTACTAAACAAAGGGGAGTCCTTGTTGCTTTTCACGGCAAAACCCCATTTGTTTGTGTGAAGCGTATTGCTGACCCAAGCGGCAGGTATCTTTTATTACAGGGCACAATTCAGGGTATCGATGTTACAATACTGACCTATTATGCTCCCAATGTCAACCCTGGGCCCTTTCTATTACATATCTGCTCCCTCCTGGCTGTTCATCAAAAGGGTACTCTTCTGCTAGCAGGAGATTCTAATTTAGTATTAAACCCATCCCTAGATAAATACCCTGCAGAAAACTCTAATTATTCCATGTTGGCCAAATCCTTCACTTGTACGTTAAGTACCCATGACCTGGTAGTTTTATGGCGTGAATTCCACCCCCGAGGAAAAGACTACACTTACTACTCTCACCCCTCATCATTCTCATTCAAGAATTGACCATGCTTTTGTATTGCGTAAACATCTTCCTTTGGTACGCTCTGTCTCTATCCTCACGGTTTCATGTTCCGATCATGACCCCATTTTTGTGATTTGTCGATCTCTCCTCTGTAAGCCATCCTACTCCCTTGGATTTTGAATGACACTCTACTTTCACTGAAGGAGATTCAGGCGGAACTATTGCATAAATCCCAAGAGTATTTTCAGCTAAACTCGGGTTCTGTCTCTTCTTCGGTGACGTTGTGGGAAGCTTACAAGGCTGTTCTCCGGGGTCATATTATTCAATAGCTTCGAGGCGGAGGAAGGATAGACAACATAAACAGAGTCAGCTGGAATCAAAGTTAGCTTCCGCGTCGGCTCAATTTAAGCAAGTACCAACCCCATCGAACCGTAGGTTGTTAGATCAGGCTCGCCTGGAACTAGATCTCTGTTTGACTGATGAGGCTGAGCGCTCTTTGCGATGGACACGCCAGAAGTGGTATAGTAAAGCAAATAAACCAGATTCCATATTAGCACGTAGATTGCGCTCTTTCGCGCACCATCCTAAACCGATTTCTCTACGCACTCGTCAGAATGTTCTCACCAGTAATCCTGTAGCGGTATTGGAGGAGTTCCAGCATAGACTAGCCAGACTTTATGCGGATCCTACACGGGCTGATCCCCAATCTATCTCTGATTTTCTATCTCATTTGTCCTTACCTACTTTGACTCAGGCTCATAAGGACCTGATGGACCGTGATATTCAAGTATCGGAAGTTCTGCAATGTATTGCAGATCTGAACACGGGCAAAACGCCCAGGTCCAGATGGATACACGGCTTCATATTACAAAAAATTGGCGGATCTGCTTGCCCCTCACCTTGCCGCTATGTTCAATGTGGTGAAGAGGGGTGCAAACTTTTCCCCTGACTCTTTGACTGCTAACGTGGTTATGATCCCCAAACCGGTTCGGGAACATTCCTCTTGGGCAAATTACAGACCAATTTCTCTTATTAACATTGACATGAAAATCCTCACTAAGATCTTAGCCACTCATTTGAATTCTTTCCTTTCTCGCTTGATTAAGAAGGACCAGGTGGGTTTCGTCCCCCACAGACAAGCTGGAGATGCCATCAGACGTATTAAACAGTTACAACATTTGGCCCGTACTCACAAAATTGATATGATGCTTCTATCTCTAGATCTCAACAAGGCCTTTGACACCTTGTTCTGGCCTTATCTCATGTTGGTCCTTCATCATTTTGGCTTTGCTCTCATTCTTGCGTTGGATTTCCTCGCTATATACATCACCTCAAGCAAAACTCAAATACTATGGTTTTGAGTCTTCAACGTTTTCAATTGGCAGGGGAACTAGACAAGGTTACCCACTTTCACCCCTACTATTTATCTTGAAACCATTCGTATGCATCCTGATATTAAGGGAATAGATGTAGCTGGCTCCCATTATAAGTTATCTATGTTACTTTGCCAAATTTACTTGCGGTTTTGGATTCCTTTGCAGTTTTCTCAGACCTCCATGTTAACCCTGCCAAGTCCAAAGCTATGTCAATTACCCTCTCACCATCACTTTTGGAGACTCTGAAACATTTGTTCCCTTTTCAATGGCTTTCTGCCCTGACGTATTTAGGAATTAAGCTTTCTCCGACTTATGAAGGACTTTACCGGGCTAATTTCTCCACTGTTTTTAATGACTTGACGGAGGTGTTGTCCTCCTGGTTTCACTATCCGCTTTAGTGGTTCGGTAGAATCAATGCGGTCTGCATGACTTATCTTCCCAAATTATTGTACGTGTTTCGAGTTTTACCAGTCCCTGTTCCCTCACATATATTGTGTATTCACCAGCGAAATCTCCTGTCTTTCATTTGGAGTTCCTCTCGACCCAGAATCAGTAAACAAATCTTATTTGCTCGTAAGACTGAGGGTGGGTAATCTGTCCCAAACCTTCAGTCTTACTATCTGGCGGCCAATATTGCCCCCCTAGCCCATCTCCATGCATCTCACCATTTTCCTTTGTGGGCTACTGTAGACTTGATGGACTCCCACCTGATTCCACTCTCTTCTTTACCATTGCTTCCTTCTACTCATCGACCCTCATCCCTTAGTCTGACGCTATCGCTCCGTCTTTGCGACTCTATTAAGTATTCAGCTGGCCTCATTTCTGCCCATCTACCGTTACTACGGTTGCTACATAACCCATTATTTCCCCCAGGTCGTGACAATCCTGGACAGTTTGCTTGGTGGCAAGCAAATGGCTTCCATGATATACATACCATGCTCTCTCCCACTCGGATACTTGCCTTTGAAACTCTGCGCTCTTCTTACAATATCCCATTGCGGGAACATTTTGGATACCTTCAACTCCGCCACTTTATCAGTACTTTAATACAGACACATTTGGGGCCCTACAGGTTGACCCCCTTTGAAGGTCAATGTAGACATAGACCTCATGCTCCGGGCTTAATTTCCCTGGTCTACTCCTCTATTATTTCTCATAGAACTCCTCCAGTCCGTTCTTACCATCAGCGTTGGCAGTCGGAACTCGGGGGCACTCTAGATCAGCAGGATTGGCGGATCATGACCCAACAAATATCCAAATGTTCTAGGAATGTTATCATTCAAGAAAACGCCTATAAGGTTCTCTATAGATGGTATTACACGCCTGCTCGTCTGGCTCGTTTTATTCCCTCATATTCCCCGACTTGCTTTCGAGGTTGAAACAGACGGGTACCATGGTCCATATTTGGTGGACTTGCCCCAAGGTGTGCAGATTGTGGATCAGAGTTTACGCCCTTCTCCGCACTATGTTTCACACTGACATTAAGCGCAACCCGTACGAAGCGCTGTTATTTAAAACCATTAGTGGGCCTACTTCATCCCGATCGGCAGCTGGCATCGCACGTATTCATGGCCACCAAGCTGACGATTGCGAGAGCCTGGAAGACTCCCCTCCTCAGCTTCGAGGCTGTCAAAAACCAGATGAACTTTATAATGGTCAACGAAAAGTTGACAGCTATATTGCTAGACACCCATACAAAATTTTTACAGACATGGCGTCCTTGGCTTGATATAGCTCAACCGTCGAGATTCGACCAGTCCCTCTTGTCGATATAAAACTAACATACCAGTTTATTCTCCCTTTTTACCCTTTTTTTTATTTCTCTGTTGCGGTCCCCCTGGAGCCTCCCCTTTTTTTTTTGTTGTTGTTGTCTGTTTGTCTTCTCTTTGCTCCTTTCTTTCCTCTTGTCTAATCTGTCTTCCTCAGACTATGTGTGCTGATTTTTGATTCCTGTTTTGAGCCCGTATCAGCTATACTGCATCCATGTGCTGGACTCCTTTGGGAGCCCTGTGTGTTAAGTACCTCTCTTATTCAGAGAGGCTCCTTCTCCTATTCTTCTCACATTTTGTATGCTGTTACAGCGACAATTTTTCTGTAGAGTCTATTATGTTATTGGTCTCTAAGGGGTTTATTTACTAAAGCTGGAGAGTCCAAAATCAGACTTCCTTCTGCATAGAAACCAATCAGCTTCCAGGTTTCATTGCCAAAGCTTCATTGAACAAGCTGAGGTTAGAAGCTGATTGGTTTCTATGCAGAAGGGAGTCTGATTATGGACTCTCCAGCTTTAGTAAATAAACCCCTAAATGTCTATCGTTTCTGCAATTTATTGTGTTTTCTTCCTATATGGCACTTATGTACGCAATTTATTTTTTTTTCATGTTTTCTCATCAGTACATATTCTGTGTTATTCATCGAATCCTTTGCATGTTATATTCCTGCTGGTCATTGCATATGTTCTTGACTGATTCTCTGCTGTTTCTTATTCTATAATAAAATTCTTTGTAAAAGAAAAAAAATGTTCCTCCAAAGGAAAAGAATCAAAAGCTTGCACTACAATTGATTTTTATGGCATTGCTTGTTTTGTGAGATCTTTTGTGCAAGTAATCTTTTCAGATAAAGAAGGGTTGACCAAAAAAATACCCACGTCTATGGGGAGCCTCAACCCATCTTAACTTGTATTATTATACAGGATTTATATAGCAACAACAGTTTGCTCAGCGCTTTACAATATAATGGGAGGCAATACAGCAACAATACAGTTCAATACAAGAGGGATAGGATCAGGGGCGGACTGACAACTCATGGGGCCCCCCCGGCAATAGGGGATCATGGGGCCCCTGTGTCCTTGCCCAAACTCAAAAAAGCCTATGAAAAAAGTACCAGGGGCATCTCATGGGGCCCCCTACTGACCCCGGGCCCTCGGGCAGTGCCCGAGTTTCCAAATGGTCAGTCTGCCCCTGGATAGGAGAGCTCAGCTCCTCGGAACTTACAATCTACAAGAATCACTTCTAGTAATACATATTATACAATGCGTTGATACCAATGCATTGATATTTATAATTTAATGTCTGGTATTCGCCTGTCACATATAGGATGGTTGTTGGTTATCTGTTCTTTGGACCTTCATGTGATATATAAATATTATTTTCTGGAGCTTGTGCATACATAAACCCATTCACCAAAAATATACAATTAAACATTGTAAAATTTTCTCAAGCTGAAACATACTGTCAAGTTATACAAAGCAAGGTCTTTTTGCACCTCATTCCACAGATGGAACCGTATACACCTGTGTGGTATACTGTGTGCGTCACTTTGCTTCGTGTTGCATCAAGAATCTTAGGGCATGATGCAATTTGTGGGCTTTGAAGCAACCTGCTGCTTCCATTGAATCCAATTTAAATTCTTCAAAAATGCATGGTAAATAAGTAAAAAATACTTAAGGCATTTGTATGCATTCAGCGCACAATTTGACACATTTACAGTATTCACTTCCCTTTTGTAAAAAAAAAAAAAAAAAAACAGAGGTGGCATTTGGGCAGCATTTATTAAGGAGACATAATACACATGAAACACATCTTAAACACAGGTTAATGCTATAGTCACATTTGTGATTTTGCCACATCTCTAAACTCATGCAAAAGAGGCCTTATAGGTCTGTTCCTTTTTTGGGCTTTGTTATCTGGTATCATGTGACTCCTTGTACTTCGGAATTAGACATTGCTTCCTTTTTCAGTCAACATTCCTCATTTATCTTGCTCATCTCTGAGGTCTGGCTCTAGTTAGCAGATCAGTTTTGTGAGCATACATGTCATTATAACATGTAATGTCCTAGGACTGCAGGTCACTGGATTTATGGAGAATTCTGTACAAAAACACATTGGTTTGCTTAGTTTTGTTAGTACTTTTCTTCTAAGGTAGAAATATTACAGTAAACAAAATGGAACAGAGCTTCAAAATTGCATAAAAGTGTTAAAGCAAAACTTTACTTAAAAAAAAAAAATGTGAGGAGTAAGAATTTTTTTGTGCTGTGAATGCACCATAGACAGTGTACACTATAGAGTAAAACAAAAACAACCTGCGTCACAAGAACTATGTGAAAAATTTGAAAGTGAATGCTGCTGTGCCTTGATAAGAATCAAAAAGATTGATAAAAATCAAAACAATCAGTGAAAAAATAAAACAGCGCAAAACATGAAATGAATCAAAAATAATTATACACAAATCATAATAAATTCTGTGGTTATAAAATAAAATGTCCAAAACCTCCAAAATGAAAAAAATTATAAAATTTGTGTCCAAATACAAAAAGTGATGAAACCAAAAACAAAGAAAGTCCCCTTTAAAATGCAAATATTGCTCCAAAAAAAATTTAGAATAAGTGTAATACAGAGAAAAGACTCTACGGATCCACAACTTCTTATGAATACTGATGTATTCTGCACTCACCAGAGGTAAGAATAAATTGCACTTTATGGATTCAATATTATCCTCCAATTCCCATTGAAAATTTCCTCTCCATAGCTCCTGCATATACAAGAGCTTCCTTACAACCAACTTCAAAAGGGATTTCCCCTCATAATGATGTGTTATATAGGAAGACAAAGGAGAACCAATAGTGCAATATTGCAAAAGACTTTTAATTGAATAAAATAGTGCTCAATCTACTCACATTATAACTTAAAATAAGTTGTCAATTGACAAAATCCTCCAAAACAGACTTCCTAGTGTAAAACGGATTCCAGAAAGTAAATCAAACTGGCAGCACTGAGTAATAGATCAGCTCTAAGCATGTACAAGATGACCCTGGAATGTACCGACCGGCGTGCACTCCACTCACCCGGATATGATGTCACACGCTCAACATAGGAAACCGGAAATACATCTGTCTAGTGTACACTATAGAAAAATTGGTAGAAGCAAAAGCAGTTTTTTTTGCCAGAAAAGATATCTGGCAATTAAAACTTTTTTTTTGCTCTTGGAATTTTTTCTATAGTGTACACTGCCTGTGGCATATGCACAGTGTAGTGTACATATCTGGCCCATTCCCAGCATCTGATGCTGAGAATGGAGCCAGGAGATGGAACAATGTAACACCCACATGAATGCGCTGGAATTACATCATCACTGGTCACCCAATCTCCAGAAAGCAGGGGCACATACCAGAAAGAAGAGGGTGGAAGAGAAGGGCAGACAGAGTTGTAAAGGACTGTGATGGACAACTTTGAACTCTCAGCACTGGAAGGGGCATACAGACAGGTAAGACTCATTTGGTGCAAATACGGTGTGCACCTACAGTTACGCTTTAAAATGCTAATATAATTTCCAGTTATTTTCAATATTTATAGATTTTACTAAAATAATATCTTCTGATCCTGCCATGAAGGTCCTTGTCCTGTTATAGGGTGACCATGCTCTTTCACCTCCTCCAAATATGCTTCTATATTGTCACCTTGTCTCATGGGCTTCTGTTGGAAACTACAAGCAATCAATTCATCATACATTACCCAGGCATGGTCCTGTCAGGGTCAGGATCTGAACTTGCAATTTCTGCGGTGCTTAGCTGTAGCTCTTGCTGTGGCTTCTGAGATGCTGAACAGTGTCTTATCTGATGTCTTAGACAATCTTGCCTGGTCTATTGTTTCTCTTGAACTTTGAATTCTTTGCTCCTCCAATGAACTTCATGATTTAAGCCATGTCTCTGCACTTCCTGTTTGCCAGATTATTCTGCTCTCTCCAGCCAATATCTTGCTCCTTTGTGTACCTGCAGCTATCCCTATCTTCACTACCACTCATTACCAAACCTTTGCTTGTCCCTTGATTACACTTCCACTTGATCCCAACTTACAACCATTCATTATCGACCTTTGGCTTGTTCCTTGACTATGCTTCCGTTTGATGCCAACCCCCAACCACTTGTTACAGACCTTTGGCTTGTTTACTCACTATGCTTCTGCTTGATCCCTCCCTGCTATATCTGCTACTGGATCGTGGCTTGCTCAGCACCTGGTGGGGCAATTCTGACGACCGTGACCTGGTACTAACACACAGCAAACCCCATCTCCACCATCAGGATCTCTGGTGAATACCAGTTAGTGCTTATACCCCATGCATGCCTCAGATCAGTTTCAGTGTCAGTATATTTTAGATAGGATTAAAAAAAAGCAAAATGCAAGCTATTGTTTCTGGACCCTACTATGGGTGCAAACTAGTGGTGCACCGAAATGAAAATTCTGGTGCCGAAAACGAAAATTCAAAATGCACTTGGCCAAAAACCGAAACTGAATCCAAAATGCGCAGTTTTTTAAACATTAATATATATTTTTGGGAAAGAAATACACTTTGATTAAAAAAAAATTATATACCCCAATTTTTTTGTAAAATATGAAACAGAATGTAATGGCGAGTAAATAGATAACCAACATGTCATGCTTTAAAATTGCACATGCTCGTGGAATGGCGTGAACCTTTTAAAATATCTACAGGTTCGCAGTGTAAAGTTACAGAGGAGGTCTAGTGCGACAATTATTGCTCTTGCTCTGACATTTATAGCGATTTACATATGTGGGCATGGCCTACGTATGCGTTCACCACTACTGGCGAGCACGGGGGGACGGAGGCACTTTAACATTTTTTTTTTTTATTTATTTATTTTTTTGTACTGTCCCTTTAAAAAAATGTTAATCACTTTTATTCTTATCACAAGAAATACATGCATTTCCTTGTGATAGAAAATAATTAGTGACAGGTCCTCTTTATGGAGAGATATGGGGTCAATAAGACCCCACATCTCTCCTCTGCAATGTAAAGCATTGGATCAAAAAAAAAAAAGCAATGATCTAGTGCTTTTAAAAAAAATAAAAAAAAATGGCCAGAACCGGACATGACATAGCTCCAGTCCTCCAAGGGCATAGAGATGAGTGGAGGCCATCTTTCCTTCACTCATCGCTATGTCCCAGCGCTGGGATCATTTGGTGGTTTCTCAGGTAAGGCTGAGAACTACTGAGCGGTGGCTGGTGGTGGCAGCGAGAGGCGGCTGCGACGGAGAGGTTTTTTCGGCACCTGTATCAGTGCTTTTTTTCATTTCGGCCGAAACGTTTCGGCCATCAAAATTTCCATGCCTAGTGCAAACAACAAATAAAATACACATACAGAATGTGGTATTGCTGCGATTGTCAGGAGCAGGAAAGTTTATTTTGGGTTGTTCCTTGGCAGTAGGTTATGGTAACAAAAAGAAATATAAAGGTAAATTTTACTTTTTTGTGCCAGTTTTCCTTTGATAATAAAAAAAAATCTGGAGGTATCCATAACCATTTACTACCACTTTAACAGTTGTCCAATATATTTAATTTTTATATGCAGTATGGTGTGTCATTGGTCTATTGGCATAGAAAAAATGGTATTATGGCATGTGGATGTGCAGTTTTATTGGACCCTACTTAGGGAAGATGTTTTGACCCCTCTGTAACAAATGATGTAAAAGTACATTAACAAACATAAACTGAGCCTCAAAGTGCTTTTAAAATAATGCGTTTTAAAATGCCCTCTCATACCCTCCCCCACCCCAGACATACAGACACTCCCATACAGCAGAACAGAATCCAGGCACAGATTATCATAGCAGATGGCTAACTGAAAGGACCCGTAGATGTTAGATGCTTGTCATCCTTCGTCTAGAAGTGGGCTCAGGGGAACTGCAGGATTTTAGAACAAAAGGGAGATAGCATGACGTACTGTATAATAACTGCAGTTCACAGTTACTCAGTTAACAAATATAATTTATACTGTATGGATATACTGAAAATTGATCAAGAAAAATGTAGGCCTTATTTACATGGGGCTGCCGGAGGATTCATGCCAGTGGAGGAACAGCTGCCCGCACATAGTCTGCAAACAGTGGTGGTGCCGTTAACTACCAATGAATGGCTGGTGCCACTGTTGTTTGCATGTAAGCAAGCAGT